GCATGACATTGTTGTGGGATAATTTGGCGAAGGGAGCAGATAGCCCTTTCTGGCTGACATTTCTTGTGCAAAACATGCTGAATACGATTAGCAATCCCCCCGCACCGCGGCGGGCGCCCGCAGCCAATCCTGAGCCAGCGTTGCCGCGCGACCACTCCCAGTTTGATTTCGTAGGCTTGGGGCCGCTCTCCGAGGGCGCCCTCCGAGCCCGCGATTGATATAAATATGTAATCTGTATTGACGGACCGCGAGACGCACACCCAATACCTCAGCCCCAAGGCCGGGAGCTGCGGGGCCGCCCCGAAGTGGCCGGGGTCGGGGGAGGAACCTGGCCCTGGGGCTCGCCCAGCCCCTGCCCTGACTTGAACCCTCTTTGGAACTGTGTTTGCAGGGTCCTGCGGCCCCGCGCTGTGAACCAGCGGGGTGTTTATAGTGCGCGCCCTGCCCGCCTTGGGTGCTCCCCTTCCTTATTCGGAATTTGCCACTAGCTCTCCGTCCACTCTAAACACCGAGGGGTCCTCTCAGGGCCTCAAGCTCTCCCCATTCAGGTCTGGAGCTGTCTCCCCAAAGTGGCAGACCTGGTCCTAGGCCACCAGGACCCTCAGAGTGAGTGCCTGAAGTCCAGAGCGACTGGAAGCTGGCAATTGCCACTTAATTTTTGCATCCCACACAGAATTTCCCCCAAAGTGTAATGCCCTGGCCCCCTGTACTCTCCTCTGCTGGTCTGTGGATCTAGTTGTGCTCTTGGCCTCTGGTGCCCATACCCGGCTTGCTCCTGGGTGGACCTTGGTGGGCTAGCATGAGTGGGGGTTGTGGAAGGAACTGGCAACCTGAAAGACTCCTCCACCCCCACTCTGAGTCCAGGTCCAGGCACCCCCAGCCCCATCACCCTGTCGGGCTCCAAGCCCTTCCAGGGAAGTGAAAGGAACGTTGGTCTTCAGGCAGGGTCTCTGGCTTGCCCTGAGGGAGGACCAGGAGGGGAAATTCGGAGGAGGGATGGCCAGCGGACACCTCTGACACAGTATTCTCGAGTTCTCCCTTCAGCCTTGGCATTCGCATGCTCCTGGAGGCTACGTATGACAGAAACCAGTGTCACCACACTCCTGCTCCCGTCCCCTCCCTCCTTCCTCTTCCCCTCCAAACCCGGCCGGAGCAGCCCTCACTCCCGCAGTATACGCATTTTAAGGAGGCCCACGGTGAGGAAATCTGTTCCCTGTGAGGCAGGGCTGGGCTCCTGGCCCAGAGATGGCAGCCTTTAGGGAATAGGCCCTTTGCTGAGCAGACCCCCAGGTCTCCTTCTTCTTTGGCTGCCAGGACCTGCTCTAAGTCAACTGGAAACGGCGGGCCCTTGGCGCTAGCCCCCAAGTGTGGGCCTCATACTGGTCTCAGGAAACTCGACCTTTTCCGGCCGGATCCAGTGGAGCCCGGGAGGTCGCGGCCTTGCCCCTGGCCTGCGGGCTACAGCTCCCCAGGATGCCCCAGGCCTGCCTGCCCCACCAGCTCCAGCCCCTGCGGAGGCCTTGACTGGGGCTGCTGCACGCTGAGATCCCAGGCAGCCAACCGCGCAGGGCTCTGCACCACGGGGAGAGACCCTTGCATCCCGGGTGATTTGTCAGGCATGTAGCCTTGTTCTTCCAAGTATAAACCAAGTCCAAGGAGGAAGTGAAGCCGGAGAGGACCCAGGGAGAGCTCTCGGGAGAGCGGGCGACAGAGGCCGAGAGCTGGCTTCTGAGATGCAAGCAGTTGCGGTCTCTGTGGGCAGCAGCTACTGGGAGCGCAGAGCCCCAGAGCCACGCCAACGCTTGCGCTGCGCGACAACCACTTCCACCTCTGCTACCCGAGGTTACTGACTCTGCGGGCTGGGCATCTGGGACGGAGAAAAGGGAAAGGGGGGAAGAAAGATCGAGAGGGACAGAAGGCGAGAAGAACGGAGGGAGAGGAAAGCGAGAAGGTGATAGAGCAAGCCAGTTCTTCCCAATCTGACAGGGTCTTGAGGCTGCGGCATCCATGCAGCAGAACCAAGTGCGGGAGATTAGGAACTACCCTTCACTCCCCACGTCGCTCTCAGGAACAAGACCAAGGCAAATTCTAACCTGGCGAAGCCCCTGAGGCCCACGAACTTGAGCACAGAAAGGTGTCAGAGCGCCGCAGCCTCGGGCCCTTCTCCGATGGGCCTGGTCCTTGCCCAGCTTGGCTTGCCAGGAGGGTGGAGCTGACAGGACTGCTGTGCTCAACAGTGCTGCGGAGAAATGCCGCAAAGCCGAGGCTACCTGAGCTTGGGCTTTGCCCCTCAGTGCTGTTCATGCCTCTCCGGAAAGCTCTGCCAAGTGGAAAGTAGGTCACAAGAACAAGAGAGGGTTTCTTGAGGAAAACACGAGCCCCATCACGCCAGTGGGCCAGGACTTTGTGCCTTTTTGGACTAGAGGCAGAAAGCGATTACCCAGACCACAGGTTGGGAAGGGCCAATGGCCATAGGATAGATTGCTTGAGAGGGACGGCTAAGAAAATAAAGTGAAAGACTATGATCTAAACCCGTCTTTCTTCACCTTTTTGGAAGTTAAGACCCCTTTGCAAAACTAAGGCCAAGTCCCGCCTCTTGACCTGTGGAAAATGGTAGTCTGTGCATTCCCACAATTTGACCCATCCTTTTCCAGGAGTTCGGAGACCCCTCAAAGCCAAGGCCCTCCAGGATGTTCCAGGACTCTCCCGGAATTCAGCGCCCCTGATGATCGGACTGGTCACACAAGCCCGGTGCCCTGTGTAAGCAGCTCTGGCCGGGTCTGATCAGGGCCCGGTAGGGTGGCCAAATGGGCTTCTAGGCTGGATGGGATCCAAGAGCATGCACATGCCGATCCAAGCTACAGAAGTCAGCTTGATGATGCATCTGCTGCAAGAAGGGTCCTGGCTCCTAGACCATGGCATTGGCACTTGGGCCTTCCCAGATCTTTGGGGAGAACTGGATGTTTTTCTCCTGCATCGTTCTTCCACCCCACCCCTTATAATAAACCAATTGGGATGTTTCCTTTGTGTTGTTTCTTGCTTTATTTTTTTTAAGTGTGTAAACCTGTGTGAGAGCCCCTCTCTGACCTAGGACCACCGCCCAACCCCAAGCTGGGCCTGCAGCACCGAAAGCCAAAGGAGTGGCTGCGGGTAAGCTTGGGACGCACACTGGCCTGCTGGTTGGAACAAGAAGGTATCAGCGTAGCAGAAGCTCAAGTTAAGCCCTCTCAGTCGGTCTGGAGCTCTTAGCATCCCTGACCGCCCCCAAGGCTCCACACTCCCCAGACTGTAACGCCGAGGTGTTAGCTTGCTCAATAGACTATTCCATTTATCGAGCGCCTCGGCTTCCCTCAGGTGCCCCCCTCCCCCTTCCAGAGATTAAGAAAAGCGATTCAATTGCAGCAAGGCTGGCTGCAGGACACACTCTCTCTGCTTGCCCGTTTGTCTCTCTTCCTTTCCCCCTCCTTCCCAGCTGCTGAATTTCTCCCTCGCCTTCTGGACGCCTTTGACCTAAAACTCGGTGACTGCTTGCTTCAACCAGGCCTGCCAGAGCCCACGTTTTATTTAGGAGTAAACATCGCCTATTTCTACCTGCTTAGTAATACCCCTCCCCCGTGGCTGTGGAGCCAAAGTAAAGGCCAGCCAGGCGAGTGGAATAAACCCTTTGGCGATGCAGTTCACCGGACAGCGGATTCCTCCTCCTGAGAAAGCCCTTGCAAACCACCACAAAAATCAAACTGTTATTACAAAAAGTTCCTTAAAACGTACTAGTTCCTGAGATTGAGATAGGCAGTAAACAGTTTCTATCTGAATGTTTTTGAGACTCAGACCGGCCATAGAGTTGGGCTTTGGCCCACAGAGGAAAAATCAACGCTACGTTCACATATCCGCTTTAACAAAAATTCTGGACTGCTCTGATTCCTGCATT